TAGTTATTATTGTCGTGTGTAGTATATATATATATATATATATATATATATATATATTTGTATCCACAGGTGAATCTTATAAGATAAGCATTAAGAAGTTTTTTTATAAATCCCAGATGTCACTTAAAGTCATAACAGATATTGTTTGTGGTAATAGCTCCCAAATGCATTGGGGATATCCCATCTACCAGATAAAATCCAAACGTTGATGTTAAACTAGCCAGTAATCATGGAAAATCAATTAAGGGTATTGAGTTGAGTGCTTACGCCCACAACGTCTCGACTCCTACTGCCTTTCACTGTCTGCAGCCAGTTGTTGGAAGGCAGTCAGTTACCCTTAAAAGTTCTTATAATACCTAAAGTAGAAATATTAGGGTGGTTTCATTTCATTGTTGTGGATGTAAGCACTCAACTCCATATTCTTAATTAATTTTCCATGATTACTGGCTAGTTTAACATCAGCATTTGAATTTTGTCTGGTAGACAACACATTTGGGAGCTATTACCAAATACAACATCTGTTATGACTTTAAGTGAACACTGGGATTTATAACGAATTTTGCAAAAACTTCTTAATGCTTATTTTATATTAAGTTCATTATTGTTTTATAGTACTGAAGCTATTTATTTCATTACATATATATATATTGTTTTATTTTTTAGTATTATTTTCATATACTGATACTGCCGAGATGAAGTCTTTCAACATTCATTTTCAGATCGAGTATGTATCAACAGGACTTATGTTTACATTTGTTATTGTTTAGCCTGATATATACTAGAAGGCAGGACGAATGGAAATTAATTTTATTAAATCAAAACAAACCATGTGGAAAAGATATCAGGATGACACTTTTGCAGACTCGAAAAACATACAGTTTTACCTTTCTTAGACATCCTCACTTAAAGACAAAGTAATCACGCAGCTACTATTATTTACAGAAGACCTACATCCACTTTACAGTTACCTACACATCAAATCTAACCACCCTCTCTCCGTCAGTAATGGATAATTAGTTGCCTCTTCATCTGTGCTAAAAAAGAGCAAAAGTAATCAAGAAGAAAGAACACACAAGTGAGAATGTTCAAGCCAGTGGTTTCCATCTACTTTTATCCATTTCAATTCTAACAAATAAAACCTTAGATAAATGCCAGTAATACAGTATTTACCATACTTACCAGATTCATGCAACAAAATTAAGAAAATTTGTGATAATGCCAGGTTGAAGTTTACTTCAAAACTGCTAAAACACCTTCAAAATGTATTTACAACTTTCAAACATAAAGTGTAAATAAAACCGAAATATATTGTTTACAGAGTACTCGGTTCCTCCTCAGATTGATATACCAAAGAAGGAAAGAATGTTAAGATACCACAAAACATATCCTGTATAATGTTTACAGAGTACTCAGTTCCTCCTCAGATTGATATACCAAAGAAGGAAAGAATGTTAAGATACCACATAACATATCCTGT